ACTTCACCACAAACTACGTAAACAAACATATCACACGATTTACACTTGTGAGCACTGGATACTGCTTTTGAGCAAACAACACAGACTATGTCTTGTATAGTGCTCTTAACAGTACTCTGTACGAAACTGTGATGACGATTCTGCTGAAGTTGAGAGTAACTCAGTGANGAGATCCGAAAGGCCCTGGGTCTAATTTGTGAATTTTTATTAATTATGTAAATTAATGTCACCAAATAATACTTCGTTTTTGGTGAGAAAAATATTGTTTTAGACGTGGGAAAAACCAGATAACAGATGTTACTTCCTTTCCACAGAAGAGAACATCCGCTGTTTTTCCGTATCTGGTTAAAAATCTCGCTCAAATGGGAAATGGTTACCCCTCGTTCATCCCCCTTTCGTCCGTTCTCACGAAAGAGTTACTGGACGATGATTGGACGAAATTTTGAAATAAAAGGGGAGATTAGTCAGAATTCGAGGAGTTCTTCGACAGATCCGAAGCATCCAAACTCCACATACGTTTCCCTCCTGATGGCCAACGCCCAAAACGGAGTCCGATAGACTAAGTCCCGAGTCTACACTTAGAAGAAGTGTTATTTTTATATTTTGTGCACGAATTGATCTCCCATACGAAAGTAATATGAACTTTATCTACAAGGTGTCCTATATCTACGGAACGAAGACGACAACTAACAGGTCGTATGTTTAGAATCATTTTGTGAGCTCTCTTTCTCGAACGCGCATTAGCATAGATTAAGTCGTAGCCTCTAGCTTGTCGATAAATGGTTGTAATCGAATTTTTGTATTCGTTTGTTTGGTTTATTAAATTTACTCTTGTTTTATTATATCAGTATGTCTCATCAATTTATTCCGAATCAGATCGTAAACGCGTGTTAATCCGCGTATAATAAGATCGATTAACTGGTGTCAAGGAATCCTGACGAACATCTGAACTTCGCCGTTCAGATCATTTTAAAATACGCTCTCCTATGTAAACTTTTTACGATCGGATCTTACGATTCGAAACTCGGAGAACTATTTTCACGGAATAGGCCGATTAAGTGGTACTAACGAATTAGTGTACCCCCGGCTAATCTCACAGATCGTGACGTAATGACTGATTAACATGCTTCTTCTGCAGAGGACACGTTGCTGAATCAGTTTACGAATCTATTGTTCGAAAATAAATCAAATCTATACAATTCATATAAGCCAATAGTGCTATTCGTGTAAATTCTTCTACATTACACGGTATTCAAGTACACGTCGGGACTTTTAGTGGCAGTTTTGTGATTGGTTTACACGATTTGTCAATTCCTTCAAAAATATCTCGTATCTGAAGTAATATATTGAAAACGTTATACAGCGATTGGTACATCTATACAACAAAAATACTTTATTAAATATGAATTTAAAGTATTGCTTCATTAATCATTCATAAAACTTATAAAAACTTCACATATTCCGTTATTTTAATCTTATACAAATACCTGAATTGGAAATTTTATAGAAAAAATAAAAAATCCTTCACAACTAATCGCAATTTTATTTTCTCGAAACTTTTTCATAAAATTCAACGCCTGTAAATAATTATAATTAGCTGTGTGAAAATTAACTCTTAATTTCAAAATTTAGACTGTTAAGTTACCTTGAGATTTACTTCCAACAGAAGAGAAATCAAATTGAATTTTCGAATTTCTTGAAAAGAATCATAAGCCTGTTGTTCGTAAATTATAATTTAAAATAAGTATGATAATGAATTTACATTGCTGTACTTACATGGACTATTCTTAACTTTACACTTAACTAAAACTAATATTTCAAATTTATTTTATTTCGAACTTACCGAAGCGAAGGCACGAGAAACCACAAACGAAATCGTTACCATGAAACAAACGCAAAGAGTAGAGCAAAGTACAAGAAATATTCGTGCGTATTTAGCTGAAGTAGTAAATATTGTGTTAGAGAAAAAGATCGATACGATATAAACGACAATTTCGTATATAGCAAAGCAAACACTACCAAATACATCGTTTATTTCATCAACTATTTCGCAGATTTCCATATGTTTTCGCATTATATTGTTAATTTCATATTTTGCATTTTGTCTTACAGCCAAATACAACTGCCGCGATATTGCATTAAATCTTTCGTACATCATTATGCTTACTAATAGCACTGCAGTAATGAGCCACTTAATTAGGCCTAATTGCAAAATCATTACGTAATGAATAAAAACAGAACAGAGGAGAGCCCGTATCCAAGTTGTTTCCTCTTCTACTGCCTTAATATAAATTCAAAATTCTATTCATTCATCATAAACACATTTTCAATAAAGATCGAATTTCCTGTTCTGTGAATGAAGATAAAGTTGTGTACGTATGAAAAATACTTTTAAAAGTATTTAAAACTTAAACCGCATTTATAAATTAATAATTTCTTTTAAAATAATAATAATAATAATATGTTAATGTTCCCAAACTTTTCTAATATGAAACTCCTTTATTATCTAATCAAATTTATTTTTCTGAAAGACTAATTGGCTGTAAAATAAATTTTTTTATCAATTTCATTTTAATTTTACAATTGTTAAATCACCTTTAAATCTATTGTATGGTTGTAGCTCGTAACAAAGAAATGGATATTTAGCTGCTTACATGTGTAAGAAGCAAAGATCCATTACTTTGCTTACAGCTGCTTTGCACTTTGAATAAATTCAGTAAAAACGGGTACTTTTACTTTAAATATTGCTAATATTATATTCGATTTAATTCTTAATATTAAATTATAGTGGTTAAGGATTGAGGGAGTGAAGAGATAACGAGGGTCATGTGTATCTCCAGTAGGGCCAGACTTAATGACAATTTTACTAGCATTTACAATGTTGTATAAAATCCATTCCTAACTCAAAATGAAGCTTTTTGAAATTTTATAATAGTTAAAAAATGCTTTTAATTAATAAAATATAATAACAGATAACACTACCAGATGTTCCCAAGAAAGTTAGCAACTCGTTGCTGAATTTTTCTATTGTAAACAGTACTTCATTTACAAGGTATGTTCGCGACTAATTTGTTTTTCTTTTATTTTCTTTATTAAATCTAAGTTTTCTGTTAAAGTTTGGGAACCATTGCTCAAAGCAAACTCGTACCTTAAATGTAGTTCTTATTTTTCACAGGGCCTCCAAGTGAAGGAAAATAATATATAGATGCAAACAGTGCCTTATAATTTTACAGTAAAAACACTTTATGCTAAACATATCAAAACTCACATACCAAAACAGATCTAGGAGTGTAAAACCTGCAAAATGAATTTTCAAAATAAATCAAGTTTACAAAAACACATGATAAAACACTCGGAAGAAAAACCGTACAGATGAAAACAATGCGATACTGCATTCAAATATAAATCAAATTTGATTCATAATCAAAAATTACATACAGCTAAAAAAGAATTTTTATGTAAACTTTGTTCTCGGTGTTTCGACAATAAACATCACTTAATAAAACACAAAAAAAATTCATGATGCTGAAACATCTTATTATTTTTGTGTTACCTGTAATAAAAGATTCAGTAAAAAAGCAAACTATATGCTTCATAATGAATTTCATTTGAGAAAAGAAAAGGCCTCAACTGAAACTCAAGAAGAAAAGGAGATGCAAGCAGGCCCTTTTTCAAATCAATCCCCTCTCAGATTTGGTAATTGCTCTCTTCCATCTACATCTAAAATTTCAGATGAAAAACAGATGCAAGCAGGTTCTTCCTCAACGAAGTTCGCAGAAAGAAGAAATACAAACACTTCCAAATCATTCCACATCTGGAATTGCGTTCAGCTTCCATGATTACTGTCTTCCATCTACAAGTCGAACTCCTGATGGTGGACAAAAAAGTTCAAGTAAAAGTAAAAGATTCATTTGAAAAAAGCAAAGGTTTCAACTACAACTCTAGAAGAAATCATCATCTGCTCAATCACCACTCAGTTTTCATAATTACTGTCTTTCTCCAAATAAATCCCAGGTGAAGAAATCACGTTTAAGTTAAGAAAAATAGAAAAAAAAACATTAAATGTTTGTATACAAAATTTTAACTGAAATACAAATTTTAAAAATATATTGAATTTTAATAATATGCCATGCAAAAATACTTACAAGATAAACTTTTTAAAAATTTTATTATTTGAAAATTTAGTTTTCGTAATTTCTATTGATCTTATTGTCATGTTTGTTTTTTAAACAATTCTACAATAAAAATAAATTTTAAATAAAATAAAAACTTTATGCTGAACTTTTTATCTTGTCATGTAGTAGCTAGTTTGGCATGAGCTTTTAAACAATATCGCCCCGTGATAAAGTGTGATGTAATTGTCAGTGAAATAATAGTTTTGTGGTAGTAAAGCGGGAAATAATGCCTTCCGGAAGGTTTTTTTAACGGTAACTGGTCCCTACTCAGGCGTTACAGACGTGCAGAAAATCCGGAAAACACCACGTGGCCAGTCCGTCATGGCAAGACACGAATTCACTACGGAACGTCTGGTGTTCGTGGAACATAACTGATTGGCTACTGGTAGGCCAGTGGTGGACCCCTTAAAGTGATAGAATAACTCAGAGAAAAACAAATTTGTTTTGTTTGTTTCAAGCTAACATACAAAATATACTTCTAGTTCACCCCAAAAATGTCTTGTTTTCTTCACTGTACATAAAACTTGAATTAATGAAAACAATCGTGAATGCACTGGATTAAGATGGCGCTGTTTTCAAATTCCTTAAACAGATTTTTTTTCAAAATTAAGCTTAAAGAAGGAACATTCGTTGGACTTTAAATCAGAAAATTACTGCATAATGCAAAGTTTGCTCAAAATTGAATAACATTAATTATGTAAATTAATAATATATTAATCATTTTACAAAAATCTTAAACATTATTAATTTTATTATAACAACCGATATAAAAATATTCTGTAGTTTACTTACGAAAAAATTAAGATTTTACTCATTCTTTATAAACACAATTTAAAAACTTTTATAGTTATTTAAACGGTAGATGAAGTAACTCTTGTGTAGAAAGAACTCTCAGCTTGGTACGTCGTAATTACGAAAGAATTTAGGTATGTATGACATTAATTTATATTCTAGAATTAAATCAATACTAAAATTTAAGTCAATGACTCCCAAACATTACTTTTTCTCATGCAATCTGTTTGACTCGAAGATTTAAAATTTTTTTCTTAATTAATATATTTTTAATGATAAGTTTTGAAGTAGAGCAGATAAGGCGATTCTTAAATGAATTAATGATGTACAATTTGTACATATTTATAATTAAATAGCATCGTAAGCAGACAATTAAGCTTTTTTTTCGCTTTCTGCTTTTCTCCACTTTGAACGAATGCAGTTAAAGTGGATGCTTCTAGTTCAAATATTAAAACCAATTTTAAGTTTAAATCTTAATAATATTATTGATTTTTATTGATGTGAACGTTTAAATTTAATATCTAAGCACGAGTTTTGTGTAGTTAATTTCACTTTCTATCAGTCCACCTCGTAATGAAAGAAATTCTTTTAGAAAATTAATATTCTGAAAAAAGCAGTCTTACGTTTTTTCACTAAGTTAGTGTACAAAGTATCCATTTTATGTTACTATTTCACTGTTTTCTTAGTTGAGTATTAAGTTAAAATTTATATTACTTAATAGTAGGAAATAAATATGAGTTAGTTATTAAAGAACTTTAAAATAGGTTTTTGTTAGCCTGTTTGTACTTCACTGTAAGAATGGAGACTGAAGAAGTTTTGACATATAAATTTCCTTATTTTCGAAATGTTTTTTCTATTCATTTCTACGAAAATTGATTTTACATGTAAGGTGCATTTATTTTTTGTTTTGAACCTCCATAACTTTAAATGACTAATTTAATTTGTTTCTATTTTCGCTGTTCTATTGTTTAGTGTTACATTAGTTTTAAAAACATTATCTAAAAATTTTTATTTGTAATTACAATGCAGTGATTTCACGTTTTTACAGATTTTCCAAGAAGAAAAATGGTTTATAGATGCCGTTTGTGTGATGTAATTTTTCATGATAAATATTTATACCGTTCTCATCAATTAAATCATTCAATGGATAAACATCGGTGCAAAGTTTGCCGACAGGGATTTGTAACTGAAAAAGCTTTATTAGAACACATGAATGGCATCCACCCAGAAGCAAAACCTTATGTGTGTAGACAATGCTCTAAGGGTTAGAAAACTAAAAAATCTTTTCTTGTTCATCTAAAAATGCATTCAAGGAAACCGTATAAATGTACAGTTTGTCCTGCAGATTTTACAACTGAAGAAAAACTATTGCAGCACAACAGCGACCACGAAATTTTTACAACCCCCACTCAACCCTTGCAGGAACTATCGATGCAAACTGGTTCTTCTAGTCAAAACGTGCAACAACCATGGATGGAAGCGGGTCCTTCAACTCGAAACGTGCAGGAACCATCGATGGAAAAAGAACCTTCAACTGAAAACGTGCAGGAAACATTGATACAAGCGGGTCCTTCAACTCGAAACGTGCAGGAAACATTGATGCAAGCTGGTTTTTCTACTCGAAACGTGCAAGAATCATCGATGCAAGCAGGTTTTTCAACTCGAAACGTGCAGGAACCATCGATGCAAGAGGAACCTTCAACTCAAATCGTGCAGGAACCATCGATGCAAGAGGAACCTTCAACTCGTAACGCGCAGGAAACATCGATAAAAGAGGAACCTTCAATACGAAACGTGCAAGAACCATCGATGCAAGCGGGTCGTTCAACTCGAAACGTGCAGGAACCATCGATAAAAGAGGAACCTTCAACACGAAACATGCAAGAACGATGGATGCAAGCGGGTCCTTTAACTAGAAACGTGCAAGAACCATCAATGCAAGCGGGTCCTTCAACTCGAAACGTGCAGGAACCATCGATACAAGCAGGACGTCCCTCAATCGTAGGCTATGCTGTTGTTTATCCTTTATTGTTGCGCCGATATGTAAATCGCTAAGAATATAGGAAAAAAGTAAAGACAAATGTTAGGATAATCGGTACTTATTCTTTACTTATTGAATGTAACGAGTAATTTTTTAAAAATTTTAATGTAGTTTGGAAATTTCTTCCTGTAATTTTAATGAATTTTTCTGTTACGTTTGCTGATAAATTTCTTCCTGTAATTTTAATGAATTTTACTGTTACGTTTGCTGCTAAATTTCTGTAAAATGCTGTTAAACCGGAAATAAATGTTTTTATAAAATTTTAAAAATTTACTTTAGAGATTTTTCGTCGATCAAATTAATATACATTAAAGCTGATACTTGGTTGCAAACTTTTCGTACTACACGGATTAATTTGTACAGTATTTTAAAATGGTTTTATTTTTCTTTAATTATTAGTCTTAAATCTTTGATTCTTTCGTTTCAGTGTCCGGTATTTTAGTATATTTGATTTCTGTAAATTTTCTTATTCTTGTTTCATGTATTAAATGAATGAAGCAGAAACCAAACTAAAAACAGACTTTACTTTAAATGTTGAGACCTGACCTAAGCACATTTTGTATTTAACTTAACATTAGTATCTAAAACATGTTACCTGAGAAATGAAGAAAATCTGATGTCAAAATTTGAAGTTAATATGTGAAAATCGAAGTTTTTAATTAGATTTCAGCTTTTTACCCTGGCCTCACTGTAGTTCGCAACATTAATTTTAAATCTGTGTTATGTGATATTTCCTCAAGTAATAAAGAAAACAGAGAGACACTGTTTTAAATTTGTAAAGAATTTTATATCTGTTAAAACCTCACATAAATTTCTGTAATATAACTATTATAAACCGCAAATAAAAACAAATGTACAGCTTCTTTAACCTTCATATTTCGGCATTCACATCGAGATGTATTAAAGCGGTTTCCCAGGCAATTCTTCTACTGAGAATTGTATATATTAGAGAGGTTTTGGCGCAAGTTCAAACGTTAAACTTGTACGCCGAGCAGAAGTACACGTTTGAGGTTTAAAGTCCCAAGTAGAAATCGTTTGAGGTTTCCGTTCATAACATCACGTGACTCAGTAAACATTGCGCATTGACTCACAAGAAATAAGTTGAAAAAATAGCAAATACATTTTGCATCGAGGATTATCAGCAAAGGTAAATAAACAAATTAAACTGTTTAAAAGTATATATAAAATGTTTAATAACACTAAATAATTATTTTTACGATAATTAGCGTCGTGTTTCCTCCGAGAAACATTAGGAAAGTTCCAATGCGTTTTTCTTGTTATTACGACATACTTCTGTTGAGAGAAGTAGGGGCTGTAAATTCATATGCGTATGAAAATCCAAAAGGTGCTTGGAAAAGTACATCTGAACATTTACGGACTTTTATACTGTCGACAGTAGAAAATGCCGGAAAAGAACAACTTCATTCCCATTGACGAGAAAACTCGTCAAGTTTACATAGCGTTACAGAAAACTCGGTTGTGAAGGCCACTTTAAGAAAATTTTTTTTTATTTTTGGAATGTTTTTTAAGTCTTTAAATTTTTTCAAAAATTTTTACTTGCGCAAAAAAAATTTATCGCAATTTTAATCAACCTTTAATGACGCGCGATTAACGCTTAATTGTTTTTTAATGCAATTTTTTTTTATCAAATTTAATTAATTGTTCTAAAGTTGTAATGCACGGATTTGACTTCGGTAAAGTTATTTAAAGCTACTTTCTGGTGTCAAAAGTTTTTTTAATTTTTTTAATTAATAAATTTTATTACATATAAGTTAATTAAGTCGGGGGGTCGGAAATCGCAATAAAAATTTTAATTTTTAAAAAATATTAAAAAATATAAATCTAGCTAGTATTCACCCTACTTTAAACTCTTGTTTTCCCGAGAGGTTTATGAAAATGTCCCGTGAAATACGACTCCAGCTGTGTCCAAGGTCATCCAGCTGTGTAAACAATGACTCATCAGTGTCAAATTTCACAGAAAGACCAGACAAAGAAAAATAAAATTTGAAGCTTCTTCAACATTAACACATTTCTTTCGTTTTTTTCAGTTTTAAGTATTTTTATGTTTAATTATAATTAATTAAAAGTTGATCGAGAAGTGACGGGTAAAGAACAATCTTGCCTTCCAGATATACAAGTATAGTAGTTCAGATAGTTAGATAAACTTTTTTGAACAGACCTTGTATAGTATGTTATCAATACAAAAGTATAAGAACACCACAAATTTTGCTTTCTCAAAATTTATTTAACTTTTTATTAAAAACAGTTTCGTTTCAAACCAATTACAAAAATATCATTTTCAAGCTTTTTAGCTCTTAATAATAATATAAGTTATCACTTCTTACTTGTTACCAAGATATAGGAACACTTTTTAAAATTACATATAAATAAATTTTAAATATATTTTTAACACTTTTAATATTTGGATTCACCCCCTTTGGCCAGAATTATTTGAAAATTCTGTTAGCATGGAGTTTATTACTTTTTTTAATTGTTCATTCTAATTTTATCGCAGGTATCCCTTATTGCAATTTTCAACTGATTTACAGATTCATATTGTTTTTCATTTTGATAAACAATGGCAGATAAATCCCCCATAAAATTTTAATAAGATCTAAATGTGGACAACATGAACGCCAGTTAATATTACAACAATATTTTTTTTTAAACCAATTTTTTGTTGACATTGAGACAGGAATGAGAGCATTATAATGTTGAAACTATCATTTATGTCTTCCAGTTAATGCAACAAATGTAATCATATTTTTGTCAACAAATACTAAATTAGTTTTTTTCCAATCTATCTTATTTACCTCCAAAACTACCCCATATAAATATAGACTCGTGGCTTATTTAATTCTGCTTTTTATTCTTAAATTATGGCAATAATATAAAAACCCATTAGGGCCATATAACTTCTCATCACTAAACGTTATTTCTTGCCATTCTTCTGGTCTTCCCATTTTGTCTTTAGCCCAATTTAAATTTATTGATATGTGTTTGGCAATTAAAAGGTAGATTCAACTTCATTTCAAAATATTTTACATTGTCATAGTTTATTTAAAGTTCTCCAAAGAGTTGCACGAAATACATCTATTGGTATTTCAGCAGCAGCTTGCTTTGTTGACATCTTTTTTATTTATAAGCTTCAAAATTTCTTTTTCATTCCAGGATGTTAAACATGATATATGTTGAATATATAAAAAATGAATATTTTTGATAAAAAATTATGCCGCTTTATGAATTGTAAAAAAGCTAATAAAATAATTAAAATGATGATCAAAAATATTTAATCTTTCCAGTAATTGTTTCAAAATAAATTTAAAACAAAACAAAATTTATGGTGTTTTTATACTTCGGTAACAGACTGCAGAACCAACCTTATTTTTAGAAGTATAAAATAGAGAGGTTGCGGTGTACGTATCAGTGCAAAACGTGTAAGGCAGCCGGTCCGAGCGCCGCCATTTGGCAATTCTTGGCTGTCGATAATGGCGTTCGCTTCATCTAGACTGGCGAGTAGAAGATTGGTTAAACTTCTTTAATTTTTCTGTTTGCGGTTAAAATTATGACCTATTTTATTAAAGAAACGATTATTTAAGCACGTACGAATAACATTGTAAAAAAACAAACGATTTTAATTCAGAAGTTATTTAATTATTCAATTTTTTAACAAGTGATATAAGTGTCAATAACATTTTTAGCACTGTGTTTATAAAATAGCTTATCATAGTTTACTTTTCAAAAGACTGAACCAAGTTACAGAGGAAAGAGGAGTGTTTTTAGAAAAATTTGGTTTAGAAATAAAAGAAGCGCTACTAGAAATACTTTTAAGAACTTTGAATAAAACTTGAAGAAAAAGTTTTATAAAATTGAAAAACTTCTTCATTTATTAATTGATTAAATTTCAAGTATTTGTCCACTTTGAAGGGTAAACAACTAAAATACAGTAGAACGTCGATTATCCGAAAGTCAATTATCCAAAACGTCAATTTTCGGAACGAATTCCAGTGGGCAAATTTAAATTTTTGCAAGTGCTGTGGCGTTGCAATCTTTGGCTATTTTTTGGGCTACTCAAATATTTTACGTTTTTGTTACTAAATTAACTTCTGAAGTATAATCTTTTATTGTTTTTATATTTTTCAATATATTTATTTCGTTTGTACAGAATAAAAAAATAATTTCTAACGATACAGTAGTCACGATTATCATTTTAAAAAGTTTACGTTAGGTTTAACATTCACAAAAATTCAACGCGAAGCGACACGCAACATAGAAAAATTTCAACATGGGTAGGTTAATATATTTTTCTGTACATAATCGGTTATCCGAAATACCGATTTTTCGAACAACCCCAGTCTCCATTTAATTCGGATAATCGACGCGTTACAGTAATCTGATGTTGCACTACCAGATAAGCAAGTGTGACAGTCTGTATGTAGTGCACCAACAATATACAGTTTACCAATAGGCTGAAAATACAATTTCAATTTTGTTTTGAAATCTAGAAAAGCATGTACAGTATCTGAATTATTTTCCCAAATACCCATTCCACAAACTCTTACAGAACTCGTCCTGGAATTAATTACTTGTTACTCAGGTGTTAAGCTACCACCTCGGAATAGTGTAATGAGGTGTTAACGCAAAGGATAACCAGAATCTCCATATAAAACAAATTGGGCCCCGTTTTCAAAACAAGGAATTAGAGCCAAATGCTCTAACAAATTAGATTTTTTTAACTTTCGAATGTCGTGATGTCTTCCTTCTAATTGGTCCAAATAAATTAGCAATTATACTATCGGGTGTAACCGCTAATTGAAATTGCAAACAATGCATAGGTTTATGGCCACTGAATACCACGCTTTGATGTGTTTCTGATCGACAAATAAGATTTGCCGTTCCATATATGAACTTTCAACAATTTTCCAAAGGAGCACCTTTTGCTGTTATTACTTGACTAAATAAATTTAACTTTTCTCTTGTTAGTTATATCTCGTCGATATTCAATAACAATTTAGAATGGCTATTGTATATGATATTTACTGTTTCATTCACAAATCGTAAAAGTTCATTTTTTGATCTCCTTAACAAAACACAAGCATCATTAAGTCTATTAGGATAAACTAATCTTCGTAATAAAATAAACCGAAATAACCGAAATAAAATACTAGTTTACATATGAAAAATAAATATTTTACTTATTTTTCATAAACACAAATAAAGTATTTTTTATGGTTAT